ATATATATATATATATATATATTAATACTCACATATATAATATAATATATTAAAAAATTAATTTTTGATAAAATAAAATTTGTAATATACATATTTATCTTTTGTGTTTTTTATTTATTTGTATACGTTGATTAAAAAAAATCAAAATAGTAAAATTGTATATGTTGATTAAAGAAATCAAAATAAAAAAAATTTAGAAGATTTATATTCCATTTAGAATGGTTATTATAAAATATATTTGAAAATAAATTATTATCTAAAAATATATATTAGATATTAAAAACATGTTTATATCATCAATAAAATAAACTTGATTTTTATAAAATTTAATATATTTATTTTTATATTTTTAATAGTGTTAAATTATTATAAAGTAGTTCTTTAGAATTGTATTCTAACCAAACATTTAAAAAATGTTTATGATAGATAAATAAGTTATAATTAGGATATATATTTTTTTAAAAAGTTAGGTTTATACCTACTAAATTATAATAAAATCTAGTCTAATTTAATTTTTTTTATCTTTAATTATAATTGTAAATATAAAAATTTGTAAAGAATAATTATGATATATATTTATTCTTTTAAAAATTATATATAAAATTTTTAATACTACAAATATATGAATAAGTATTGTCTTTATTATTTAAAATTTTTAGATCTGTCATGCTAGCTAATGAAAAAGGTGTGATTTATATTTATAATATTTTTATATTTTTAATAGTGTTAAATTATTATAAAGTAGTTCTTTAGAATTGTATTCTAACCAAACATTTAAAAAATGTTTATGATAGATAAATAAGTTATAATTAGGATATATATTTTTTTAAAAAGTTAGGTTTATACCTACTAAATTATAATAAAATCTAGTCTAATTTAATTTTTTTTATCTTTAATTATAATTGTAAATATAAAAATTTGTAAAGAATAATTATGATATATATTTATTCTTTTAAAAATTATATATAAAATTTTTAATACTACAAATATATGAATAAGTATTGTCTTTATTATTTAAAATTTTTAGATCTGTCATGCTAGCTAATGAAAAAGGTGTGATTTATATTTATAAAAAATCGTGCTTCTTGCTGGGAAAAAGAAAATTTGATAAATTCCGTCCAATAGTTTTCGCGAGCACAGTTGGTTTTATGGGGTTTTTCACCCTTTAGACATCATTTTTTGAGTTAGCTTTTCAGTCTTATAAGATTTTCAGTCCCTAGCACACTAAAGTATGGTGTCAAACTAAACGCATATTTAGAAACCCGTTACAAAGAAAGAAAAATCTCAGTCGATCTTGTTTCTCAATTAACGTAAAGAATCACATCTCAATGCAGGACCAAACATGATTTAAATTGATAGCTCAACTGAAAACCAATATATTTTAATTTGAATACATGTGAAATTCTTTATTAAAAAACAACGCATCCAACTAGGAAGGAAACTATACATGTACCCAAATATAGTACATGAACAAGATTCCAGATGATATGTAAATTACGAGGGAAGAGTAGCAGTGATTCAACGTCCAGTCGTCTATCTTGGTGCCATTATTTCTCTGTGATTGATTAGGTAGGAATATCATCATGCTGAGCAACAAAAATAATTTCTCCCTCTATCTTGTATATCGCTGTTCAACTTCATTCCGGTAGGCTTTGGTGGCAAAACTCTAGCTAGTCTTTTTGCTGAATTTATCACATACAAACAACTTATTACTTCCTCAAACCGATAACTATGGTCAATTTGGTATGGAGGAGAAAAAATCATGGATAAGTTTTATTAGTAAAATAGTATTGAAATCTTGTCCATGAAATTTTCATATTACTTTTTCTCCACACCAAAACTGACCATTTGGAAAATAATTGAATTGGCCAAAGATATTCAGAAAATACCTATTTCACAGAAAAGCTCGTTGATATTCTCTGCAGTCTTGGCAGATGTTTCCATGTAGAACATTCCATTTTCTTGAGCAAATTGCTCCCCTGCCTTCAATAGTTTAATTTACTCAAACGGGGAAAAAAGAGAAGGGAAGAGGCTTTGTAATGTGAATGACATTCCCAAGTATTTTAACATAATATGTCTGGCTAACTACTAAAATTTCTTTTTTTGATATTTCCATGAATATGATACAAGTTAGTGAGCACCAGAGTATATTATAAGATATTTCAAATTAAAATTTATTCTCACTACCTCAGCTTCAACCTCTCTCTTTGGCTCCAAGTCACATTTGTTTGCTACTAATGCCATCACCGATTTCTGATTTCCTACATGAATTAGTTAGAGTTTTATGGTAGTGAAATAGGCATTAATAACGACCAGCTGGGAGACAAAGACAACATAGCAATTGTATGTTCCGAGTTTGAGGCATTACCATGTCTTTGCAATTCCTGAACCCATTTTTTGGCTCGAACAAACGTATCCTGAAATGGATCATAACAGACGAAAAGTTCTCAGATTTATTCAAGTGCATGAAAAGAAATGAAACTTCATGACAGATAAAAAACAATTAAGTATAGGTTACTAATGTAGTATTCAGTATCAAAATATATCGTTTCTTTTGTTGCTATTCTTCTTCAGGGTAAGGTAACAGAAAAAATTCAAGAGCAAAGCACTATGCAACGGAACCTCAATCTGATATTGTGACCAAGCAATTAATATCAAATTTGAGGCAGAGTAATACAAGTTGTTTGTGAGCTTTTGTAATCATTTCAAACAAAATTTTGCAATGAAGCCAATTGCAAACCATGCAACACAGGAATTGGTGAATGCTTTGAAATTTAAGAAAGTAATCACTCACAACGCTTGAGATGTCATAGACAACAATTGCTGCTGCAGCACCACGGTAGTACATAGGAGCCAAACTGTGATATCGTTCTTGTCCTGCTGTGTCCCATATATCAAACTTCACAGTCGCTTCAGATAATGATAATATTTGTGTGAAAAAAGCAGCTCCTATGGTTGGTTCCTGATTAGGAAAGAACTTTCCTTTTACAAATCTTAATGCTAAACTGGTCTTTCCAGTTCCCATGTCTCCAAGAAGTACCTACAACAAGGGGCATATATATTCTATGAAACTGTCCAAATCTTAATGAACATTTTGAAAGTATTAAGATGCGGACACCCTAATATATATATGTTAAGTACCAAATTGAAAATTTGGTCTAATTACTCTATAATCTTATCGGTTAATTGATCCTTGTTTTTTGTTTCTCTTTTAGTAACGATCTATTCATATGATTGTTCTTCTTGCCATATTACTTATTCCTTCCTTTGCATATCTGGCCAGTACGAATATTTGATACAGCATGGACAATGCAATATGTAATGAATTTTTATGTAATTGTAGAAATCATTTGAAAAGAAAATTAAGAACAAGGTAAGACATACCCACCAGCTTGGCTTGAACGATCTTATTCCCCTGCTTTGCCATAGCACTAGCTAGCCAGCTAGGTTGAACAGAAAGAAAGAAATTGTAGAAGTTGGAGAAAAAGAAAGAGAAGTTTATGATAAAAGAAACTAGAAGCTAAATTTCTGACAGGGGACTTGGCTAGTTGTTGAATGGTAGTTTTGTTTAGCGTTGACTGTTAGTTGAAGATAATGAATTCTAAATGTGTTTGAAATTCAACTTTAGTGCTGTTCTAAATGTCTTTGAAATTCAACTTTAGTGTTCTAAATGTTTTTGTTGATATTATTATTATTAAGTTTAAATACGTCTTTTATTTTTACACTTTATTTAGATTTAGATTTTGATCTTTTATTATTATAGATCAATATTACTTAGTCTAAATACATATTTTATTATTCTATTTTTTTTATAGCTAAAAAATTGTTATTTTTTTATTTTTATAGTTTTACGAGTTTATGATATTGGTCTAAACTCTTATAGGACTGGTGTCTTGGCATTTTATTTGTAATAAGAGCCAAAATTTTCAGGTATTTTTTATTTCTAGAAAAATTGCATCATCATATTTTAGAATATGTTTATTTAATGTATTAAAATACTGTTTTTGGAAATATGAGTTTATAAATGTAAAATTCTCATATTTATTATGAGTTTTAAAAGTACATACATGGACATTATTTATTTATTAAAAAAATAGTTATGTACCTGTCTAAGGGCACACTCCTTTTCTTCTGGG